CAATTGTAATTGATTGGTGTAATTGATTAATTTAATTGTGTTGTTATAACATTAATATAAAAAGAGAGAATAAGGTGAGAGAAAATAGGAGATAGATGAAAAAAATGAAATCAAATATTTATATATTTGAAATGAAAATAAATTATCAATAAGAGATATAGAGAGAAAAAAAATAAGGGAGAGATAGGGAAAGTAATGGAGAGAGATGAAGATAAAATAGGGGAGAGAGATAGAGATAATAAAAATTATGCGTCATTTAAGGAAGGGTAAATAAGTAAAAAAATTCAAATGCCTTTTGAATTTTATATCTAATCACAAGATGTTTTATTAAAATTGAACTTAATAGAGTAAAATACTTATCCATACGTTTTCTCTCAAATAAATCTAAAAAAATGTATCTATACCCAAAAAACCTACTTTATATCCAATGGATTGTCCATCAATGAGTATGATTGGTTTGGTCTTTTAATGTCCCAAGTACAAAGAGCCTAAAACAAGAGATTTGGGGGTTGTTTGGTAAGTGTCTCTGTATTGTATTTTGTGTTTTTATTTTCAATTTTGGTCAAAAATGAAAATAAAAACATGTTTGGTTATTGTTGTTATTTTTGTTTTATATTCGTTGTTTTGGAGATAAAAACAAAAAAATAGGGACAAAAATTTGTGATTAAGAAAACACGGGAAACACAGAAAACACGGGCTTGGTATTAATGAGGTCTCAATTTCGACCCTTGTTAGCAACAAAATAACACTATTTTTATGATACTATAAATATGGGGCTTTTGTGTATTTTTTCATTCGTTTTCAATCATCTCTCTCACAATCGAAGCTTCGAAGGAACGATTCTCTTCTCATTTGCAACTGTGTCCTGCGATGTTGTGAGCCCAAAAGATTGGACGAAGAAGAGGTTTCCCTTTCGATCTCCTAACAGAGAACTAGATATCCTCAATCGATCTCCTTGTTGTGAAGGTAAGGTAACTGTATCCATTATATTAGAATAGATCTATGTATGTGGGATTATACCAGGGCAGATCTGTGTGTTTTATGGTGTTTGTGTGTGACTTTGTGTGTGAATGTTTGTTTTGTGTGCAGATACATCACAGACAATGGCTCTTTTTTTCATTTTGCCCTAAAAAATTGTGGATTTATGTGAATGGGTTTGTTGTGGTCTGTGTGAGAGTTCGTGTGTGTTTTGTGTACAGATTCATCACAAAACCCACCTCTTTTTTTTCATTTTCCCCTAAAAAATTTTGGATTTATGTGAGTGGATGTGCAAAAGTAAGTGTGTGAATTCGTGTGTGTGTGTGGGAGAGTGTTCTGTTTTGTGTTCAGATCCATCACAGACCTCCCCTCTTTTTTTTCATTTTCCTTCTTTATGTGAGTGGGTGTGCAGGGTCTTTGTGTCTGTATGTGTGAGTGTTCTATTTTATTCTGTGTCTGGGTTAGTGTTCTATTCTACACCATAGTTTGGTTGAGCTGATCCTCTCCCTCGAGCTTCTTGGTCCTGAAATCAAGGGCAACCAATAATGTAACGAGTTATGTAATCTTTGATTGTTAATATTTGACACTTTGAAGATTGGCAAGAAATATTTGATCTCTGTTCACCATGTCAAATTTTGATGAGGATGCATGGTCATTTTCATTTAAAGGTTCATCTCATTTCAAAGGCCATTGCATTGATTGATACCATTGTGTTTGTGTTGCAATTAAATCTATAGCTAATAAAATATTTCTGTAACTAATGTCCCTTAAAAGCTGCTAGATTGTTATGCTTCTTGACATTGATGCAAAGTCTCAACTAGAGTCTCTTTGTAGCCATTTTGATTGCTGGTGTGCTTATGTATTTTAGAAACTGGAAAAAGCCCTCCACATGTAAACAAAAGTTAGCTCTTGTTTATTAGTATCAAGGTTTGATTGAACTTTTGCTTTTGTGAGACATAATTTATTAGTATCAATACTGACTTACAATGTGCTTCAATTGCAGGGTATTGATTCTGAGACAGAATTTATATTGGCATCATGGAAACTAAAGGTGCTTAGTTTTGTCTAGTGTCTGTTTTGCAACTTCAGGTTGCTCTTTTTTATCTAATTTCCTCTTTATATACGGTCAATGTGAGAATTTATTGTAAGATGATTTGTAACTTTCTTTTCCTACAGAATGGATCTGCATCCCAAGGACCACTGATGGGGCATTGTTGGATCTGCATCTAGTTAGATTTATGGTTTTATCTACATTCATACTTTCCATTAGTAACTCTCTAAAGTCTTCCAATTGAAATAGCTGTTTGTCAGAACGCCATTTAAAGTATTAAATGCATATTTTCTTTATGAGATTAATCATGCCTCTTTTTGATAAAGTGTGATGGTGAACGTTTGCAGCTTGAGTTTTTCTTGATTCTAGTACTTGATTTATGGACATCCATTTGCAATAAAATCTTATCAGTGGTATTTAATGCCCAAATATCAAAGCCATGGGATATGCTTGGCATCAATGATGCATGACGGAGTAGGAGTTGTGATCAATGAACACCTTTTTATCACTGAGATCATGTCCCAGCAATTGCTGCTGTACGCAGTTCGGCTATACTATTATTTTACCAAAACTAGGTATTCCATCTCTGAAGCAAATATGTCCAAACAGTGGCTACTATATTGGTCATCAGTTGATCTTTATTCATTGGAAAGAATATTAAGCTGTTTACAGATTTGCTAGAGAACATTAACTTAGATTATTTCTTCTATAATATCCTTATTTATGACTAGCAAATGGGTGTGTCCTATTTTTATATTCCACTAAGGCAATTATTGTTGCTATGTTGAGCTTGCTGGTTTCTTTTTGTTCATTTTAGAATATGAAACTACAATGTATTCTTTTGTTATGAGATCTTCTATTCTTTTATTTCAGAAGATCAACCATCCCTTTGAAAAGAATTATGTATGTGAATCTTGATGCAACTGAAATTTGTAGTCAAGCATTGGTTTATTGTTGTTCAATCATAATCTCTGCTAATAATTGGATGATTCAGGTTGATGATTTGCAATTGGTGCAGAGAACTTTTTTGCTATGCTAAGAGGATGCTCTGCTATGAGGATACTGCAGTATTTGTTACAGACTATGAGCTGGTGCTTTTTGGTTAAAGATCTGCAGCTGTACAGGGATTACACTGTTCTATGTTTCCTATTTTGCTGGCACTCTTAGCAGTCTATTGTGGTTCCTGATCTGTGACTGTTAGTTTCATGGCTTTTGCTGGGATGGTTCTTGAATATGGTTGCTGGGGTGATAATGATGAGAGTGGCTGTGGTCTTTTTGAAGGGTTGTTGGACTGGGTTTTCTACTTTGTTTCGGTAGATATCTGCTATTCTGGCATTTTTCTGCTGTGAGTTGAGCTGAGAGCTTTGGTGCAATAACTGAGCTATAGGATCATAGCACAATAAGGAGATGTTGGTTCAACAGCTAAAGGAAAGCAGTTCCAGACTTTGGGTTATGTCAGCAGGCAGGTTATGGTTGCTTGGGCCATGGATTTGGATAGCTGGCAGTTGGATTGTTTTGATTAGTTTTTGGTTTTAATCATTTTTGAAGGATTAAAGCCAACTTATTTGTAATTAGAATTTTTGAATTCCTTTGCTTCTTGTAACTCCTTTGTAATACCCGTTTGTAAATTATTTTTCATGAAATAAAGTGTTAGATTTGTTGGAAAACAAAAAATGAGATATTATAAATCATATTTAGGATAAAACTTGAGGTAGTTATCAAAAATGTTTTATGTTTTTATTCTCATAATTTGATAGACAAAAATGATTATTAAACATATTTTTTGTTTTTATTCTTATAATTTGATAGGCAAAAATAGGTATCAAATATATTTTTTGTTTCAGTGTTTATCATAAAATAAAGACATTTTTTTTATTTTTGTTTTTGATTTTTTGAAGACGCAAAAACAAAAACGTTATCAAACGATAATTTGAACTCCTCGGAAGTAACGACCCAAAATATAACCACCAGCAACAATCAATGGCCATGATGATGGGCATTGGATTAAACTAATGGCCCACAAAAAAAAGACCATATACAAGGCAGTCATGATTGTGGTAAAACCTAACTGCTAATTGTTTAAGGGCAGACGACAAACAATTTGAATAATAATAAATAGTACATTAATAATTATGACAGCATCTACCAAAATTCAGTGAGATCAATAATCAAGATAGATTTTTTTTTTACAACAATTCATCTAATTCGTAGATTTGATTAAAATACCACTCAAACTTACTCTGATATTACTTGTTGGGTTTTATTAAACCCTAATATATAAAGATCTAGAGTATTCTACGTAATTAAATCTAATAATCATCATATATTTAAATACGATAATCGACAAACTTTTAAATCGTGATTCATGATAATGACCCCTTATTTTCTAAATAAAAGAATGTAGTGCTTTACCTTAGTCTCTAATGCACACAAATGAGGGAAGNTGATAATGACCCCTTATTTTCTAAATAAAAGAATGTAGTGCTTTACCTTAGTCTCTAATGCACACAAATGAGGGAAGTTAATACATTAAAGTTCATTGAGATGAGATGGATATTACACATATAGGCATTTATCTTCTAATCATTTGTTCATCAAAGAAATCTTAGGAGAGTAGTGAACATTCAAACCTTATTTTTAGGAGAACTACAATCCAAGTATAATTGATTAAGTTAAACAACCCTAATTAAATTATGTAATCTGTAATCCATGATTAAAATATCGCATGCTTAAGATCACTATGAATTTTTTATTAAAATAATAAAAATAGTTCTAACAGCAACCGAAAAATTGAGAGAAAATATATTATCGAAATACAAGTTCCTGACAGAAAAGAAAAATCCAAAATTCCTTCTAACCCAGCAAACTCCCTACCCTCCAAACTTCTCAGTTATAACCAAATTTTTTCTTCTCTAGTCGCCAGTCACTGATCTTACTCTCACAAGACCACAGCACATCAGTATGGGTCTCACAGGATCAATATGTTATTGTGGTGGCCCGCAAATAGATAATCGCTAGTATTTTGCGAAACTGGAGATCAGCCTCTGTCTCTCTATCTGATCGACTCTCCATCCAAATCAGAGTTTCCTGAGAGTGAAGAGAGCTTGATATTCAACTCCTAAAACAGACAAATTCAAGCCTCTCTGTATAAATCGAAATGAAGGATGACGAGTTCCTTCCAATATCAACACCAACAACGAACAAATCATCAACAGCAACATCCACAATTTCGAAGAAGGAAAGCTACGATTCGAGTCTATTCGGCAGAGGCCGATACAAATTTTGGGCATTGGCTGCAATTTTACTCCTCGCCTTCTGGTCAATGCTCACCGGAACCGTCACTCTCCGCTGGTCCGCCGGCAATCTCAACCGCATGTCCGACGACCTCGGCACTCTCATTTCCGATGATCTTGATGTCCTCGTATGTGCCTCTATCTAATATCTACATGCGTATATGTTTATTGATATATTAATTTTGAGGTTGTCATTTGTTGTAAATTAATAGGAAATGGAGGAGAGAGAGAAGGTGGTGAAGCACATGTGGGATATTTATACGAATAGTCCTCGGATCAGATTACCTCGATTCTGGCAAGAGGCGTTTAAGGCTGCCTACGAGGAATTGGCTAGCGAGCTCCCTGAAGTCCGAGATGCTGCAATGTCTGAGATCGCCAAGATTTCCATGAGGTCCATTAATCTCGATCCCCCTCCTCTTCAATCCACGGTGGGTTCTTTATCCTTCACTTCTATTTCAAATGAATTCGATATTTAATTGTTTGGCCTGTTATGTTTGGAGCACTTAGTGAATTGGGGTTATTTTTGAAGTTAGGAAATCGAGTTAATGGTTAAGTTAGGATTTAGGATACAATATCAAGAATGGCACCTTAATTGAAGATTCCAACTGACACTCACAGAGAAGGAAAATTATTTTCAATTGATTTTTGAAGAACAAAGAGGAACAGAGAACATGTGGTTGCATTTTTACCATCATGCCTCTTCTGAAAGAGGGCCTAAAACTTGAAAGAATCTAGCAGAAATTTGAGTCATACCTATGTCTATGCAAAATACTTGTCTAAAACCAACGAGGAGTTGGTCTAGTGAGGAAAAACTCGAATTTCGGTGGGACATTAGCTTCGACCCCAACATAGGTGCGGTTGGGTCCGTGCAGATAGTTGTATGGTGTTGAGGACAGTGCTTCCCGGCTGATATGTGGAGTTAGCTATCTGTATATCCATTTTATGAATCGAAAAAAAAAANATATTACACATAGACTGCTTGAGATTTGTGCGCACATAACACTTAGACTTCTATCGTCAATATCCGTTAGTTTTTTCGTTTATAATTATACTTAGACCCCTCTGAAGTTTGTTGACGTATAACAATTAGACTCCTTAAGTTTAAAATATTACACTTAAATAAAAAATATTCCAATTGAAGATAGAATATCAAATATTTTAAATTTTATAACCAAAATTTATGTTTTATTATGCCATTTAGTGAAATAAAAATTATTTTTTTTCTTAAAAAATTCATAATTAGTATTATTGATGTCAAAATTTGGACGACATATATANAACCAAAATTTATGTTTTATTATGTCATTTAGTGAAATAAAACTTTTTTTTTTCTTAAAAAATTCATAATTAGTATTATTGATGTCAAAATTTGGACGACATATACATTAGTTTGTTGGGCTTCGATCACCTGAAAAAGAAGTTAGAGACCAGAGGGCAACTCCGAAGGTCGACTCTCTGATGCCTAAGTCAGTAAATGACTCAAAGATATGAACTGCATATAGTAATCAGTATAAATATATTAAAAAAAACTCAATTCAACACATATTTACATACAATTATACTATCTATTGGAATAAAACTAAAAAATCAAATAAGATGTTAAACTGTAATAGATGCAATATTTTATATCTTTAATTGAAGTAATTTGGCCGTTTCAATAGATTTTGTAAGTTCCGTAACTAATAAGGGATTTAAGTGTAATATTTCAAACTTGAAGGCCTAAATGTTACTCGTCTATTAACTTTAGGGGGTCTAAGTATAATTTACTAATAAATAGACTAAAGGACATTGACGGCAGGGTCTACTAACTATTACTCTCGTATAAACCTCAAGGAGTATGTGTGTAATATTTTAAATATCAACGAATCTAAGTGATTAAGGGACAACTTCAGAAAATGTGAGTGTAATTTACCCAAACATACTCTTCCTCTAAGTATATTTGGGCGCCAATTATGTGTACTATGTTTTACCACTCTATTAATTTGTCTAGGCTTATATGTTTAGCTAAATCACAAACTATCATTTCATATCTTAGCTAATACCTATTTGAAAATATTTATATCACATCTAGCCGATGACGGTTAATAAGTTTTTCTACATATTTTGTAATGTATATTCTATTAAACAAGTCTGAAAAAAAAAATGTTATTTCAACGGTCCATGAATTAAACTTCAAACTTCTTGGCAATTTTTTTTTTTAGTTTTTGTGAAATTGTATTTACACGTCGGGAGTGAGAGAATATTAGCCATTTAATTTAGTTTAACGGCAAAACACATAATCATTTTTGATAATGGTATTGACCATTTCCAAAACAATTATTTTTTCCCTTTCAAAAATCAAAATTATACATCAGTGTTTGAATCTTTTTGCAGACTAATAATATTTCTAAAGCACTACATGTAATTCTACAGGATCGAAAAAAACATTTGGTAATGTACTGAAAGTTACTATTTTTGAGGTCAAGTTATAACTTTCGTGAATCGTTTTTTTTTTTTAACAAAATGTTTAGGTTTGCGCCGACTACTTTATCGAGTTTGGATGCAAGTTACCTAATCCGAACAAGTTTAGAACATGTCTATTAAGGAATAAAGGTGACTGACATTTAGGACGTGTAAAAAATTTTGAACCTGAGACATCTGGATTACCAGAGACTAAGTTTAGCTACTAAACCACCCCTAAAATTTTTTTAGTTCTAGTTTTTATCTCAAAACATTATTGTAAATATCAGTGCGTTACCAAATCGGTGCTGTAGTCTTTCTCAAGAACTACATATTGTTTGTTGTACTGTCATTGCACGACAAATTGTCAGCCTCAAATTGATATGTTGTCATAAGTCATAGAAGCACTTCTCCGGGTCAATTTTATCTACCCAGAACACAAAGCTTGAGCCTAGAAAAAGTACAATAATTATGATTTTTGCCATGGTCATTATGAAACATAAAATAAAATAAGATCAAGTGTGAGCAATAACTTTTTTCCAACCTCACGAAAAAAAAATTAGAAATATTTTTAACGTCATTTTCCTTTTGCCCCTTAATAAAGTTAATGATATCAAGAATAAAATTATCATAAAAAACAAATCTACAGCAAAAGCAGAGGGATCATTAGTTTAAGGGACAGAGTGATCGACCTACAATCAAGAGGTTAAGACAGTCCAAATGCCAGTCCAGCTCGGTCGCAAATAAAACCAGTTTAGCTATTTCCAAATGAGCCCGACTAATCTAAAGAGGTTCAATCCATGAGAATAAGAGGAGTTAACAAGGAAGAACAACATCAGACCCTATCCAAGGAGAGGGTCATTAATGCCACTCCACTAACTTCTAGAATGTCATATCATGCCTAGGAGAATGTAGCCTCTAAATTTCAAATATTTTCCTCCAATATCCTAACAAACTTAGGGGACCACCTCCATCATTGCTTAAGGACCACTTTACCTACAAGTATAAATAATTAAACCCTTGCCCTGTATCATTAGACGAGCAATTGCACACCAAAAAGGCCAACTGTGAACCAAAAGATGTAACCATGGTATTTCTCACCAAGTAATATAAACCCTAAGAATANACTTCTAGAATGTCATATCATGCCTAGGAGAATGTTGCCTCTAAATTTCAAATATTTTCCTCCAATATCCTAACAAACTTAGGGGACCACCTCCATCATTGCTTAAGGACCACTTTAGCTACAAGTATAAATAAGTAAACCCTTGCCCTGTATCATTAGACGAGCAATTGCACACCAAAAAGGCCAACTATGAACCAAAAGATGTAACCATGGTATTTCTCACCAAGTAATATAAACCCTAAGAATAAGAGACTTCGTTAGAGTAGATTAACAAAACTTTTCAGTTGGTGTACCACTAAACTCATTGTATTCTTGATTTCTATTGTCTTTTTACTAACACACCTCACAGACTACTTATTTTGCACATCTATATTGTCGGAGAGCTTCTCGTACTTCTCAATTTCTAACACCATCAGTTCGGCACCATCTGTGAGAATGTCTGGCTTTGTTTTGCTCTTTATTAACTTCTATTTTTGATTGATTGATGGCCTTCACTAGAAGTATGATTCCATATCCAGAGAACNCTCACACACTACTTATTTTGCACATCTATATTGTCGGAGAGCTTCTCGTACTTCTCAATTTCTAACACCATCAGTTCGGCACCATCTGTGAGAATGTCTGGCTTTGTTTTGCTCTTTATTAACTTCTATTTTTGATTGATTGATGGCCTTCACTAGAAGTATGATTCCATATCCAGAGAACCAGTAGAGAGTCCCCTCCATCGCCTCTTCCTCCAGAGATTCTGTCTCTAAGGGAGGAACTGGAAACTTACCCATAGAACATAATCCGTCTCCTAAGAAAAAATCAAGAGCTCGTAGCCCTCAAATTACTACTCAGNTATCCAGAGAACCAGTAGAGAGTCCCCTCCATCGCCTCTTCCTCCAGAGATTCTGTCTCTAAGGGAGAAACTGGAAACTTACCCATAGAACATAATCCGTCTCCTAAGAAAAAATCAAGAGCTCGTAGCCCTCAAATTACTACTCAGAATCCTCAACAACAGTTACCGAGAGACCCTCCTCCTCCTCAACCACCTCTCAATGGGATAACTAAGGAAGACTATAGGACTCATTCAAGGGAAAATCTTTGAAGCGAACAACCTCGAGTAGAACTCGAAGACAGAGAGCAAAATAGAGTTAAAGGGAATAAGAGGCAAGACTTTCAGCCTCCCCTCCATTAGAATTCACCGAACCAATAGTGGGAAGATCCAAGGAGGTTTAGAATTAGTGTGGTAACATCAAAGATATAGTGAAGAATCAAGTCCCAATCATGATGGAGGCTCTAGTCTAGCAAATAGAGTCTCTGTTCACACTAGAGATCCAACACTTCCCCTTCCCAACAAGTTCAAGATGCCCTAAATTGAGGTGTTCAATGAAACCAAAGACTTGTTCGATCACCTCAATACTTACAAAACCAGATGGAACTCCATGGATACTAGGACCTTATAAGTTGTCGACCGTTCGCCATTACCTTGAAGGGGTCTGCTCTGGCATGGTACAAGAAGTTAGCCCCTTCCTTGATCTCCTCCTTCAAAGAACTTTCCCTATAATTCATCTCCTACTTCATCGGTGCAAGGACCCACCTCAAACCAATCTCATACCTTCTCATTATAAAGCAAATATTAGATGAATCCTTGAAGAGTTGTGTCCATGGGTTCAATCAGGAATCTTTACAAAATGGATGGCTTGGATGACAAGGTCAACTGATGGCATTCATGGTCAGGCTTCAGGCGTTTGATGTCTTGTTCTCTATTTCAAAGAACCCTAATGCCAATAAAGAAGAAGTGTTGGCGAAGGCCGAAAAATATATGAACAGGGAAAAAGCAATTTATGAATTCTACTATCTGGNAAGAACCCTAATGCC